TAATTTTTAATTGTATATAAATTAATAGTAATATAATTTTCCGTCAAAAAAAATTCAAATAAACTCCATTGACTGTACCTAGCTCCGCTCCTTAGCGGTGGTGGTCTGGTGGAGTCTAAAGTGAGTAATAACAAGTGGCCTCTTGATATTTATTCAACTGTATACATGATGAGACATGATATAAAATGACACATCCTAGGTGTGTCAATTCAAGAAAATTAAATTATATTAATATCTTTTTTTTCGTATCAATTTTTGGGATTATATTAATATCTTTTTTTTTTCTTATCAATTTATGGGATGTATTTTACTTAAATACTGGCATTTTCTTATGGTATGACTTAGAAAGTTTTATCATAAAAATGACAAATATTTACATGTCTATAAAAACTTTTTTATTAAGAAAAGATGAACATGTTAAAATTTATTTTTAAATATAAAAAATAATATTTTTTGAATATATTAATAAAAATAATAATATCATATAAAATGAAATACACGTACTAGAAAGTTTGAAGGTTTCTTCGATAATACTATATTGAATTTCCTTTCCTTTAATTGGAATCATTCTATGCTGACACTTTTCTAATTTGGATGGTACAACCTATTATTTTACCATAATATATTGTCTTGTATTATAAAAAATATATAAATATAATATTTAAATTGATTGTACTATTTTTTATTGTTATATAATTTTCGATACTAACAATTTAAAGAATCAACCTATGAAAAAAGTAAAGTACGATATAAAACTATCGTAAAAGGATATGTTAAACGATAAAATATGATTATTATCGTCTCAATTTATGTGATATTTTTCTAATATCGAGATCAAAACGAATCTTTCTTTGATCGTAATTTTTTCATATATTTTGAATTGTCAATTATTGTAACTTATACGAGTAATACTTTATACGTAGTTTCCAAATAAGTAGAATTTTATTTCAAAAAAAAATTCAACCCAAATTCAAGATCTTTGACTCTCGAAATTCAAATTGTACCATATAAATCACAGTAAAACAAATAATAAATAGAGACAAAATAAATAAAATAAGATAATGACGCAATCACATCAAATCATTTATAAAACAAAATAGATATTATATATTAACAAATATTATATTTAAACTAACGATACAACTTAATAATATTGGTACCAACCATTCAAACGAGATGTTATTTTCCTTGTCCTTTTCATCATGACTTGGTCATTAAAAATATTAATTTAAACAGCTGTTACTCCCGCGTAGTTGACAATTTCCATATTTTTTCTTCTTCTTTATTTATTTTGTCAATTCTTGAATTGCCTTTTTTTTTCTTTCTTAATTTTTCCACAATTTTTCTTCTTCTTCTTCTTCTTTTGTGAAGAAAATAATTGTGAGTATAATGGAGAATCCACCGGAGTGGGGCGATGGCGGAAGAGGGAGGAGAGTGGTGGTGATCGGTGGTGGAGTTGCTGGTTCCCTCATTGCAAAGTCTCTTCAATTTGATGCAGATTTAACTCTTATTGATCCGTAAGTTCAATAAGTTTTGCTAATTATTATTATTATTTTGATAATCGTGATGTCTGAGTTAGCTTGTCTGCACCTCAATTGATTTCACATGGTATTTGGTACTTCCACTAGTACAAGTATGGTATAACTTTGTCCATCAAGCTTGGATTCTTCAAAATAGAACAAATTGGAAAAAAGGCCTTCGTAGTAATTACTATCTCACTTTCTTTGCTGAAGAAAGTTGGAATCTCGAAAGAAAAATGACTTTTTGAGATAAAAACTATTAGTTGAGTGATCATCTGAGAAATCAATCATTGTGGTGTACTTCAACTTGGTTCAATGTGTCTTGATTAGTAAAAAACTGTTAACAGGAAGGATTATTTCGAGATACCATGGGCGAGCTTAAGAGCAACGGTAGAGCCTTTGTTCGCGGAGAGATCATTGATCCACCACAAAGATTACCTCGCCAATGGGCGTCTCATAGTGTCTGAAGTCACTAATATCACCAACAAAGAAGTCTTGACTGCAGATGGACATCAAGTTACCTATGACTATCTTGTGGTAGCCACCGGTCACTACGATCCCCTGCCTGTAACGAGAACAGACAGATTGGAAGAATATCAAACAGGTATATATATACATATTACATAGCATCAAAGACTTCTTTAATATATCATTCATGTGCTTAATTCGTTGGATTTACCATCTTGTCTGCTTTCCAACGAGCAAATTACTTGTACTTATAATCATATGAAATGTTTATGCTCACTTAGTTTATCAACTTTTTGGAAAATGATAAAAAGAAGCTAAAGCATTTGTGTTTTGTATCCTTTGAGCAAAGATTCTTTATTTGTAAATCGGCTCATCTGGCAAGTTTAATTTCACGAGGTTCAGCCAATTGTTTTGATCGTGACTGCTTTACTCTCTTACGAGATGTATTAGTGATTAAATCTTTTCTTTAGTGAGCGTCCTGTTAACTTTGTAGATTACTACTTGATATTACTAGTCAAAATGGCGCGAGGATCGGCTGTTTTTGCTGTCCTTTTTGGACTATGATAAAGCAAAGCTAAAGCATGGGTGTTTTGTATCCATTGAGCAGTTCCTCTAGCAAGTTTTCACGGGATTCAGTCAATCGTCTTGTTGTTAATGTTGAGATGTACTAGTGAGGATATTACTAGTCAAAATTTTGTGACATTCGACTAATTTTTGCATCGTTAATATTGTTGTTGCAGAGAATGAAAAGATAAAAGCAGCTGATTCTATATTGATTATTGGTGGTGGTCCTACTGGTGTTGAACTTGCTGCAGAAATCACTGTCGATTTTCCTCAAAAGAAGGTAACTTTAGTGCACGACGGATCCAGATTACTAGAGTTTATCGGTCCAAAGGCGTCTGACAAAACTTTAGAATGGTTAGAAAACAAGAATGTGGAAGTGAAATTGATGCAATCTGTCGATACGAGTAATAGCACGAACAACTCGGGTGGAAACATAACATATTTCACCTCGTCTGGGGAAACTATCAGAGCGGATTGCCATTTTCTTTGCACGGGAAAGCCACCGGGTTCAGAGTGGTTAAGGGAGACGTATTTGAAGGATCGAATTGATAATTTTGGAAGATTGAAGGTTGATGAACATCTTAGAATCAAGGGTCACAGAAACATATTTGCTGTTGGTGATATAACTGATATTAAGGTAAGCACTAAATTGCATATCTCTTATTTCTTGAAAATGTTTTCTGTCTCGGTAGGACATGTATTTCTATTACTATGAAATTCATAAATGAAGTAGTTAATGGTAGGGTTCCCATTATCCTTTTTGTAGTGGCGAATCTTGTATGTGTTCCTAAGAAAAGAAAAGAAATTTGTCCATTCTTCGTGGTCTTAAAAGATTGTGAAAACACGTAAAAGCTAAAGAGATGTAACTCCAGTTCCTTCAGAATGAGTAGTCAATCCTATATTTCCAATAAGGGCAGTTGACAATTTAATCCGATTTTGACCATTATTTTCACATCAGTAATAGTGCATAACGAAGGCCCTGCTCCAAGTTGTTCAAGAGTAGTGGTAGTGAGTTTCTCGACCCTTTGACTTAGAATTGGTCAGTTCTATTTCTCGATGTGGTGGGCCATTTTCCACCCTTTGATTTTTCCCTTGCCATGTAGGTAAAGCTAGAAGAGCATCATTTACCATACTTAGGCTGGTTAATTGATCACATTTTATTCATGAAATGACTTGGATTGGTATTAGTCTGAATTCGACAAAATCATTGGCTGCATCCTTTGAGTATATGTGAAGGGTGGTATTTTTAGTTTTGTTGCAGTAGAAAAACTACCACCGATGGTCTATCAAAACAACCTCTCTGTTTTCCAAGGTAGGTAATTAGATTAGCGTACACATTACCCTCCCTCCCTAGACCCCAGTTGTGGGATTGTACACTGGATATGTTGTTGTTGTTGCAAGAATATATGTCAATTTCAAAGGCATCTTGAATCTTTTTGATTATATAGCAGTAGCCAGAGGACCGGAAGCAGCTAGTTAGTACTTGAATTTTTCGATTCTATTATTCAATTGGATTCTTACCTGACAAGGTAGGGGTAAGGTATGCATAAACTCTTCCCTTCCTAGACTCTACTTGTGGGACTGTACTGTGTATGTTGTTGTTGTATTTCAATTGAATTCTGATGCTTCTTTGCTATCAGGAACTTAAACAAGGATATTCGGCTCAAAAACATGCTCTAGTGGCCGCCAAGAACTTGAAACTTTTGATGAGCGGAGGAAAAGAAAGCAAACTTGCAATATACGAGCCTCGACCATCGCCTAAGATCATCGTTTCATTAGGAAGGCAAGATGCAGTGGCACAATTTTCGTTCACGACGATCATTGGATTAGTCCCCGGGATGATCAAGTCTAAGGATTTATATGTTGGGAAAACAAGGAAGAAAATGGGGCTTCAACCTAAGTAATATATCTTGTTTCATTCATGAAATTTAAGATCATTTTGAGTGTGAGAAAATGGTGTCATTTCATGGCCAAAATTTTAAGTTCTACTTACATTTTGCTGTAGACTGTGCATAGGAGTTCAATGGCTATAAATATTTTTTAGTTGTTGTAGTTAATGAGGGTAGGATTTAGTATTCTTTCTTTATTTTGGCTTGTGTTTTGGATTTTTTCAAAAATATTTGCACTTAAACATAGTTATATTTTTAAGTTTACACTTGTATATCCAATATAATCCAATATAATAGATATGAGTTGTGGTGAGATAGTTGAGATTTTTCTACCTTTAATTAGAATTTAGGAGCACGAGCCGTGGAATGGAAAAAAATCATGTCAGGAGCGCCCCCTTGAAATGGGCAAATCCAAATTTAGTTGGACTCCAATGAGGATACCGAGCACCGAATGAGAAAACAATATATCCACTATAAAAATATATAACACGTTGCTAACTACAAAAATAATATATCCATCTTTAGTTGCAATTGTTGTTCAAAATGATCTAATCAGATCTCCATCAAATGACTTCAAATTTTATAGAGAGAATCTCTTTAGGCTATTCCAACAAATCAAAACAACACTTCAAATTTCTCACACACAAAAAAAAGACACGATTTGAAATTCAAATTCACTTCTTCGAGCTTATTCAATCATCGCGAGTTATCTTTCTAATTTGATTTTCCGTACACAAATCTTACAAAATCAGTACTCTAACCACTAGTTGAGTCCCAAACATATTTACAAATACAAAAGAGGCTTGCACTGGAAACATGAAATAGTATCAGTGGTACAATGATTTTAATCGCCCTTCTTTGATAGCCGCATCTCAAAGACTTGCCTATAACAGCAGACCTGAGTTCACTGTGGATGACATAATAGCTTAAGCGGGAAGAACAAAAAAATTAAAAATAACTCGCGAAGAGATGTAAAAATAGCAGTAGCACCTTAGAAGCACTTCTTGTGGACAATGGATGGGCCAGGCTTGTCGTACTCACCCTTCAAAATCCACATCTGATTAAGCACAGAACATGTTCAAATTAGCAACAACACAGTTCAAAATAAAGTTAAAAATTGCAAAAGTGTATGCAAGTGAAGATTTTAAAAACTAAAGGCTTGCCTGCTGGAAGGTGATAAGTGATGCGAGGATGGATCCTCGAATCCATGTCTTCTGGGAGCGAAGACAGTGATTTTCTTACTCATACGATAAACACCTTGCAAATGTATATCTGAGACCCTTATATCAAGCATTGCCCTGAGTAGTTGTCAGGGAGCTATGCGAAAGAAAGAGATGTTTAGCTTTTTTGTCTGCCTCCTTTACCTATCAAAGTTTATATTAACATTGCAGATAGAACTCTCTTAATTACCTCTTTCACACTATGTCTTCATCCCAGATTCTTCATGATAGATTCCGGTGTATGTCTTTGCCCTCCCACCTCTCTAGTTCACCCGTCATATCAGCTTCTGGCTTCTACTAACAAAATAAATAATGAGCTCAGTTCCACATAGAGCATCCTTTAAAAGCTAGGAATTAAGCAGCAAAAAATCAGACCTCACACTAAACAAATCCAGAAGCACAAATAAACTATTGCATGAAGCGGGGAAGCAAGATAGCGAGAGAACTCAAAATGTTTAATGCAAGATATACCACATGATTATGGTTCTTGTTCTATTTCAAATCAAACAAGATACGATACTAAAATATAAAGCTATGTGTTTGATGATGTGCACAACATAATTAAAAATGAAAAGAATAAACAAAAAAGCAAAGTGAAGTAAATAGAAATAAAAAGCTTCTGAGGGAAAAAAATAGCTTACATCAGTTGTAGAGCCATTCATTTTAATCATCACATGCATTCCCGATCGATCTTTATGGTGGAGATATGAGCAATTTTTGGCCAGTATTCCCCATTGTCAAATTCTAGTAGTGGTCTGAGCAATGAGCAATGGACATTCTAAAATAGAAAGTTTAGAGAGCGAAGATGGCATCCCTTTTACTGGAAGAGATTGCAGATTACGGCAATTTCTGATGGTCAGCTGAGAGAGGGAGGAGGGCACTGCTGATTCGGAAAGTGATTGGAGATTAGGGAAATTCACTATTAGTAGCGAAGTGAGGTGCGAAAAGGAGGAAAACTGGCCTTGTTCTAGCATTGACTGAATTTGAGGTAAATTACCCACAATATCTAGATATTGAAGAGAGGTGAGTCTTTTGAGATGTTGGCTGCTTAATGTTTTCAGATTCTCTATGGTAAGTGTTTGAATAGAGGAAGGCAACTCCCAATTCTCACCACCAACAATCTCTTCGTCACTGCCATCATGTTTGATCTCTAACTCTCTAAGACAGGGGAGTCTCTGTAAACGCCACTCCTTTCGGCCGTTCACCAGTTTCTTGCACTCGCTGATCACAAGGAGTTGTGAATGAGTTCACTGTGGATGACATAATAGCTCTAGCGGAAAGAACAAAAAAACAAAAAAAAAACTCGTGAACAGATGTAAAAAATAGCAGCAACACCTTAGAAGCACTTCTAGTGGACAATGGATGGACCAGACTTGTCGTACTCGCCCTTCAAATCCACATCTGATTAAGCACAAAACATGTTCAAGTTAGCAACAACACAGTTCAAAATAAAGTTTAAAATTGCAAAAAGTATATGCAAGAGAAGGTATCTGAAGATTGTGATTTTATTACTCGTTGGATAAACACCCTGCAAATGTATAGCTGAAGCTCTTACATCAAGCATTGCCCTATGTAGTTGTCTGGTCGCTATCCAAGAAATATAGAATGATATAACATCTAATTATTCTGACAATGGAAGTTGCACTTATTTCCTAAAACTTGTGATCGTTATCCCTGATTATCTTTTAAAAAATTTAGATTCTCTATGAAGCTTAAATATAAAGCTATGTGTTTGATGATGAGCGCACCATCATCATATATCATCATATCATCATATATATATATTATTATATTATTATATTATAAGTGGGAAGCTCCAAAGTGAAAAGTTGAATTATCATTTTACCCCTACACTAAATGAAAATGTTATAAAATATTTAATTAAATTCATCTAATATAATTAATTAAACATTTTAATCTTGAAATAAAGAAATACTCCTTTAATAATTTGTGCAAAAAATTGTAAATATACGTTTAAATAAATGCTAAATATCATATTGAGTACAATACCATGAATCAACCATAATTATATGCTTCTCCACATATCAATTACTAATTTCAAGAAGTCATTAGAAGTCATTTATATATGCAGCGCGTCTTAACAATTTCAGAATTGATTCTTCATATTCTTATATGTGTATTAGTACATTATCTTTTACAATTCCGTAAGCGTGCATATATATATATATATATATTATATAAATAAATCAAACATTTATTTATATAT